GAAATTAATTTGTTGGGAATTGGAAAATCTAGCTTATCTGCGCACCAAGTTGTGCAAACAACAAATAGTTCTCCCATTCATAAATATGAAATGGTTGTAGACTTCGTCGTTCTAAAATCTATTTCCTCTTATCACCCAGAAAAAAGCGTTTCTATTGAATCTCTTAATATTCCTCCAAATATACCGCTTGCTGATCCAGCGTTTCAAAAGCCACAAAACGTAGATCTGCTGCTTGGAGCAGACGCGATTTTTGATCTTTTAAAAACACTGTTTTTGGTTGTGTGGTGTCAGGGCGTTGTAAATCAAAACAACCCCAAGGGACTGCAGCGTGTTCTATGGTGAGCATAGTTAAGGAGTCTGGTCCACTTGAAAAACTAGTTAAACGTTTTTGGTAGTTGGAACAAGTTCCAAACGTTTTTGGTAGTTGGAACAAGTTCCAAATGTTTTGGGTGACAAATCTTTCGAGAAAGAATTGTTCGTTTACCCTCAGGTCGATTGCAAGTATCCTTACCGTTTAAATCTAGCCCTGCGTGTCTCGGATCATCGTATGAGATGGCGAAAGGCCGTTTTTTGTCGTTAGAGAGACGATTAACTAAAAATCCGAACACACAGTTAATGTTTAATCAATTCATGGAAGAGAATTTGGCTCTCGGACACATGACTGCAATCGAGGGTTCAATTCCGAAAGATTCGCATTGTTTTATACCCTACCAATGTATAAAACGACCACAAAGCACATCCACTAAGCTTAGAGTGGTATTTGGTGCATCTTGCAAGACTACTTCGCAAGTATCGCTTAATGACCTTCTTATGGTAGGACCAACAATACAGCCATGCTTATATTCCACTCTCCTTAGGTTTCGTTGTCGCAAATACGCACTTGTTGCAGACATAACTAAAATGTACCGTCAAGTGGAGGTTGACGAGCCGCAACGAATTTATCAATTAAGCCCCTTAAAAACTTATCGCCTAAATACTGTTATTTATGGAACAGCAAGTGCTCCATTTCTAGCAGTAAGATGCTTAAAGTATCTTAGCAAGAGCCATTTGCAATCTCATCCTCTAGGTGCAAGATGTCTTGGCACAGACTTCTACGTCGATGATCTGCTCACTGGAACGGACACAGAGCAGGGAATGAATGTTCTTCGCCGCGAGCTAATTGAGGTCCTCGAACCAGCGGGCTTTGTTTTGACGATAATGGGCTTCGAATTGCAAAACAGGTAAAAGCGACAAATAGAATGCGGAAATTTTCAACGGAGATCTTCAAGATCTCAAGACACTTGGATTGACATGGAATCCACAGACTGACGTTTTCAAGTACGGCGTTAGGAAAGTATCCACAGATCAGGTGGTAATAAAAAGATCAATCTTGTCCTTTATCGCCACTCTTTTTGATCCCTTGGGTTTGTTATGCCCAATAATAACCAGATCGAAAATATTTCTGCAAGAGGCTTGGCTTTTGAATCTGAACTGGGATGACCCTGTGCCCCAAGACTTTGAAGATAAGTGGAACCTGGTAAAAATGACTATGTATTCTTGGAAAAATTGGTTATTCCAAGATTTGTTGGAACGCGCAAACAAGCATTGTGTCAAATTCATGGGTTTGCTGATGCTTCTATACGGGCCTATGGGTGTTGCCTTTACGTTAGAGTGGTGGAGCCAAGTGGGGTGTCGGTGCAGCTGCTAACAGCAAAATCTAGGGTTGCCCCTTTAAAAACAAAGACGGTGCCCAGACTAGAGCTATGTGCAGAGCATTTGTTGGCAAAGCTGTGGGAGAAGTTCGCAACATCATTACCTTTCCAGTCGATAGTGTTATCCTTTGGAAGTAGTTCTTCACTGGATACAAACTCATCCATCTAAATCAGCTTGCTACATTTGTCTCTAATCGAATTGCTGATATACAAGACATTGTGTCATCAGCTGTTTGGCGGCATGTGCCAACCAAGGAAAATCCTGCAGATTTAGTCTCGCGAGGATGCTCTGTGGATGAGCTAAATACCTCATTTTGGTACAACGGTCCTAGCTTTTTCCAGAAGGAAGCCGAGTGCTGTCCAATAAATTCTCATTTCAAGCTATCAGAAACAGACGCATCACTAGAAACCAAAAAGGCACGCGTTTCTTTCATCGCGGCCGATGTTGAACTAAACCCGATTTTAAATATTGTAGAAAGGTCATCGTCGTATCTGAAAGTAGTTTGCATTGTGGCTTATATGTATCGATTTATCAGCCGAAGAAAAAAGAAATCTTGGAATTCAAATTGTCCGTCAGCGGACGAGCTTGGAACAGCGTTTCTTAAAGTAGTTGAAGCTATTCAAAAGACGGCATTTGCTAAAAAAAATTGTAAAACTAGAAAAATCCGCTAATATCCATGCTGGAATTCAAAAATTAAATCCTTTTCTATCTGTTGAACAGTTTGGAACGTGGTCGTACTCTTTGTTGCGAGTAGGTGCTACATTCCCCTTGTTAATGCCTAAAAATTGCAAATTTGTGACCCTATACTTGAGACACTTACATAGAACCAAATGTCACGCGGGTCCCCGGTCGTTGGTTGGCTTCTCAGACAAGCGATTTGGCTTATTAACGCACGTCGCGTACCATTGTACGGCAGTGCGTTCATTGTTTTCACTATAAACCAAAACGCCTATCACAGATAATGGGTAATTTACCAAGAGATCGATTGCATGGAAATAGACCCTTTGAAGTAAGCGGAGTGGATCTCTTTGGGCCTGTTAAAGTCTCACTTGGAATTCGGAGAAAGCAGCCAATCAAGATGTACATAGCAGTGTTTGTCTGCTTTGCTTCCAAGGCTGTACATTTGGAAATTGTGAAAGATTTGACGTCTAATGCATTTATTTTATGCTTATCCAGGTTTGTGGGTCGTCGTGGTCCTGTTGTCAAACTTTATTGCGACAACGCCACGAATTTTGTGGGAGCTGCCCGAATCCTGAAGAAGCTTTTGGAACCTGTCGACACCAACGACCAGAGCATCATGTCGTATGCTGCGGCCCACCGATTCACCATCGAATTCATCCCTCCCAGAGCGACACATATAGGCGGCCTTTGGGAGGCGGCCGTAAAATCGGTCAAGCATCTTCTTCTCAAGGCTATGGGCAGGCTATTCTGAAGGAGGACGAGGTCCATACCGTCCTAAATTCGAGGCCGCTTATCGTAGACAGTGGCAGTCCCAACGAGGGAGAGATTGTCACGCCAACTCATCTGCTAGTAGGCACAACGATAGAAACGCTGCCGCCCGCATCCGGGCAGCCACAGGCAAACGGCAACCTCACGTACTTGCAGAAATGGCAGCTAGTCTCAGCAATCAAACAGCGGTTTTGGAGCGACTGGTCGAGGGACTATCTTCTGAGCCTACAGCAGCGAGGGAAATGGACCAAAGGCGTGGACAATCTTCAGATCGGAATGGTGGCAATCCACGAAGACAACGTTCCCCCCAGCTATGGATAATAGACGTAGTCGTAGAGGTCGTTCCAGGAAATGATGGGAAGGTTCGCGTGGCTGTAGTCAGAACCAAATTGGGTCTATATAAACGCTCCATTCACCGCCTTGTACCTATTCCGATTAGTTGAAGCATTTGTATGTTAATGCTGTCAACGCGGCCGATGCTCAGTCAATTCGGTGGCGATTTACTTTTGTAAAACAATGTAACAAGTAGTAGCTAAGATCTCATGAAGTCGAACTTGCGCTCTTGTATTAAAAAGAGCTTTCGCTCCCTCGCACTCGCATGAACCACTATTGTAACTTTAAAACTCATTTAATGGCTCTAGAAGAGCTTGAATAAATTTGAGTTAAGTACTCTCAATTTGGAAACGAAGGTGTCCACAAGTTTTGTTCTCGTCTGTCCGAATTATTAGTTGGAAATAAATTGCGGTATTGGCCTTCGTGATTTGCACGAACACCACCAATTGACCATAGTTTTTTCATGAATGTTTTTGTTCATGAATCTAAAATAAGCTCACAAATCGTTCAGTTATATGGCAGCTATAGGATATAGTCGATGGTAGGTTGGAATGATTGGCTAAAAATAAAACCCATAGAAAATCCCAACTTCCTAACATTACAAACACCAAAGCTATGGCATTTCCGATCAATCAGTTATATGGCGGCTATAGGATATATCCTTATGAAATTTGGTAGGTCGGATTGATTGGTAAAACATAAAACCCATAGAAAATCCTAACTTCCTAACTTTACAAACACCAAAGTTATGGCATTTCCGATCGTTCAGTTATATGTCAGTTATATGGCATATGATATAGTCGCCCGATCCGGCTCGTTCCGTCTTATATACTACCTTCAATAGAAAGAAAACTTTTGGAAAAGTTTCAAGCAGATAGCTTTAAGACTGAGGGACTAGTTTGCGTAGAAACGGACAGACGGACGGACAGACGGACATGTCTAGATCGACTCTCCTGCTGATGCTGATCAAGAATATATATACTTTATAGGGTCGGAAATGTCTCCTTCACTGCGTTGCAAACTTTTGACTGAAATTATAATACCCTCTGCAAGGGTATAAAAATGTTGTGAAGCATCATCATTTATGTGTACGGTTCTTAAGGCCCAATCCCACAGACCACACCCAAGAGGAATGCTTGGGATTTTTGACAGAGGTGAGACCGTGTTCTCACAGAGCAACCATTCAACAACAGCCGACAACAATCAATTGAGGTCTTTCCGAAGGTGGTCTGATGACTATAACGAACTGTTTTAATAATTATTATTATTTTATAAAGTTCTTTGAGATTATAATTAAAAGATCATATAAACTTATATAAAATATCTAACGTCCTACAAAAATTAAAATGACTGGCATTTATACTTAAATTGTTTATCGTCAAGGTCTTAGTGTTGCTCAAGTTAAATATGACCAGATATGTGCGGTTTTATATATTTGGTGGACTTTCAGGGAAATGTTTGGCACGGCAAAGCCCTATGTTCCATCCAGCAAATGGATGGTGCTCTGTGAGAACAGGCCTTCACGGAAAATTTTACAGGAAGCTGCGGTCACTCTAAACAAAACACAACTATTACCGTCAACCACATGTTGAGTTGTTTAAATTTTGATCGAATATTACAAGTAAGAACATTTTTAAATTTAAAAATTAATTCTATGATTGACTTTCTTTTATATTACTAACTTAGCATGGATCAACATATAACATCTACGCTTAAAAAACGCAAAAGTCGTGTTCTTGGATTCCGCTTGCTTATATGTTACCTTAAGAAAAGGAATATCAAATTAGGAGAAAACGAACATATTTGGATGTCCATAATATTTCAATCATGTAATTTATCTGAGTTACGCACATATGGTGATCTTATTTTTGCAGCAATGGGTAAGTTTAATTAATTTATTATTGTATCTGCTGCCTTATTAGTAATAAAGTACTACATTTATTGTTTATTGTGGTCCAGTGGTCATCACGATCATCACGACTCACGCAAAGTATGCGACAGCAGTCTTCTGTTCCACACTAAATGCCTTGCAGAAAAGTAAACTATTACCATTTTTTTAAGAAGGGACGTGACACGGAAAAAGTTTCAAGACATTGCGAACATTTTTTAAAACAAGCATGAAGAATATCTCCCTACAGAAGCATTGCAGATATGTTAAGAAAAAAATTTTCGGAATACGCATTTTCAATACAACTGTGTATGTTTTAACGTTTTTCTGGAATCTATATGAACATCTTTATCCAAGCTAAACCAAATAAAACAAGAAAGCGTTATCCAAGCTAAAGCAAATAAAACAAGAAAGAATGCAAACTTTGGGAAGCCGAAGTTTATATACCCTTGCAGTTATTAAAAAACGACTATAGTTCGATTTCTATACCTATATTACTAACGAGGACGGAAGCTTACATCGGCAAGCCGAAGTTGTAATACCCTTGCAGACTTTGCCGAAATTTCTAAAATTGAAAAAGTAGCGAAAAGAATAAGTTATACATAAATAAATTTGATTTGCGCAGCCTTTAACAATTTTTCCCTACGGAAGCTATTACATATAGACGTCCGATTGGCAAGCGATTTTACCCTGATCAAGGTATGCGTAAATAAATAAGACTTGGAAAAATGTATGTCAATAGCTTATACACTGCGCGAAATATTCTGAAAAACTTCAAATTTGGACCGATTTTACCATATTGTTCCTATGGGAGCTATAAGATATAGACGTCCGATCGGCACGCGCTTTTACCTTGATCAAGGTACACATAAAAAATACGATTTGGAAAGATTTATGTTAAAAGCTGTTACACTGCGCGAAATATCATCAATTCATGCAAGGTATATCCGATTGTTCCTATGGGAGTAATAGGATATAGACGTTCGATCGGCACGCGCTTTTACCCTGATCAAGGTATGCATAAAAAAATACTATTTGGAAAGATTCATGTCAATAGCTTTTACACTGCGCGAAATATCATCAATTCTTGCTAGATATATCCGATTGTTCCTATGGGAGCTATAGGATATAGACGTCCGATTTTAAAACTTTATCTACACATGTTTTAGGACGACTGTGAAAGTTTCAGATCGCTAGCTATTAAACTGAGCTCGCAAACTGTATTGATACAGTGGGACAGACGGACGGACAGACGGACATGGCTATATCGACTCCCCTCTTGCTCCTGATCAAGAATATATATACTTTATAAGGTCGGAACCGTCTCCTTTACTGCGATACAAACTTCTGACCAAAATTATAATACACTCTGCAAGAGTAAGAAAACAATGAAGCTATGTCGATTTTGATTCAACGCAGGTTTATTTCAAAACGTTTCCACCCCCATTTTAACGACCTCAAATCAAAAAACTGATTCAATACCTGTTAGACCCCTGTTGGTATTTGTAAAAACTCAAAAAAAAAACTCATTCGTTCAATATCTGTGGCACAGCGAAAAAATCACCATTCCTTTAGAAGTTATCGGGCATATTAAGTGTTAATTCCATACATGAAATGCTGAGATCATATATTTGCGAGCGCGGAATATAGCAAAAAAACTGTTGACGAGGGCGGAGGTGCTGCTCGCTCTTATTTTGTGGACACATGCGGTTGATTTAATTTTTAACTTGTAAAGTCAAACAACTTTTCCTTTATTTTAAGGCACAAAAACAATTTTAGCTATAAAATTACTCATTATACCATTAATATTATAGCGGCAAATGTGATAATTAAAAAAAATGGGCAAATGGATCAAATTTTAACAAGTAGTTAATTAAAACCCAAGTGCGTCAATAATTTACTTCAGGGAAATTTGTCCCATTTTTTTGTTCTTTATTTTTCATAAATTATTTATAATAGATAACTTAATAAAGTCTATTGTATTTAACAACAAATTAATGATTCTATCTAAAAATATTTTGTTTTATTTAAATATTAGCATATTAGAAAAAGAAAAATAGCCTTAAAGCTTAACAAGCTAGCTGTGCCAATAATTTAGTTTGTCACTGTATGTGCATAACTAGATAATAACAAAAATGTATTGCAATAAGAATTCCAACAAAAAAATGTATATTTTTTGTACCCATAACTAAAAATCGTTTTGATTTTGACTTTATAAGAATTCGTGTTTTTTTGTTCTGTCAAGCATTTAGACGTGTTTTAGTAATAGACTTAATTAACAGAGTCAGCGCAAATGGAATCCTGACTGACGGCACAACAGATTGATGGCCACAGCTTACGGCTTACTCCGGTCCATATCGGTGACTATGCATATCTTGGATTTGCCCTTTGTCTGCGCATGCTGAGCATTTGAGAACAGGATTGTTGTTCTGAGGTGAGGTCAAGGAAGTCGTTCTAACGCCCTCAGAAAGAAAGAAAAAAGAAGTATTTTTGGCTTGTACGTGATGCATACTAATCTAGTTTCCTCGCCAGAAGTCCAGATCTAAAGAGTAATACTATCCATCAATTTCCAAAACCTTCGTAGTTTAATAAAAAGTTAACACACCTGAAAATCTAAAGTGCGGGCTTTATATTACTTTAAAAGCGTCCTGACTTAGGATGGATCAACATACAACATCTACGCTTAAAAAACGCAAAAGTCGTGTTCTTGGATTCCGCTTGCTTATATGTTACCTTAAGAAAAGGAATATTAAATTAGGAGACAACGATCACGTAAAGTATGCGACAGCAGTCTTCTGTTCCACACAAAATGCCTTGCAGAAAAGTAAACTATTACCATTTTTATACCCTTGCAGAGGGTATTATAATTTCAGTCAAAAGTTTGCAACGCAGTGAAGGAGACATATATTCTTGATCAGCATCACCAGGAGAGTCAATCTAGCTATGTCCGTCTGTCCGTCCGTCCGTTACTACGCAAACTAGTCCCTCAGTTTTAAAGCTATCTGCTTGAAACTTTCCTAAAAGTTGTCTTTCTATTGCAGGTAGTATATAAGTCGGAACGAGCCGGATCGGGCCACTATATCATATGGCTGCTATATAACTGAACGATCGGAAATGCCATAACTTTGGTGTTTTTAAAGTTAGGAAGTTGAGATAGGTCTATGGGTTTTGTTTTTGGCTAATCAGTCTGACGTACCAAATTTCATAAGGATCGGACAACTATATCCTATAGCCGCCATATAACTGATTGATCGGAAATGCCATAACTTTGGTGTTTGTAAAGTTAGGAAGTTGGGATTATCTATGGGTTTAATTTTTGGCCAATCAATCCGACCTATCAAATTTTATAAGGATCGGCCGCCTATATCTAATAGCTGCCATATAACTGAACGATTGGAAATGCCATAACTTTGGTGTTTTTAAAGTTAGGAAGTTGGGATTTTTTATGAGTATTAAGAATGCATCATATAAATAATTTTGGAGAATATAATTTACATAGTATTCTGCAAGGGTATATCAACTTCGGCTCCGCCCGAAGTTAGCTTTCCTTTCTTGTTTTAAGAAGGGACGTGACACGGAAAAAGTTTCAAAACATTGCGAAAATTTTTTAAAACAAGCATGAAGAATATCTCCCAACAGAAGCATTGCAGATATGTTAACGTTTTTCTGGAATCTATATGAACATCTTTATCCAAGCTAAACCAAATAAAACAAGAAAGCGTTATCCAAGCTAAACCAAATAAAACAAGAAAGAAGGCAAACTTTGGGAAGCCGAAGTTTATATACCCTTGCAGTTATTAAAAAACGACTATAGTTCGATTTCTATACCTATATTACTAACGAGGACGGAAGCTTACATCGGCAAGCCGAAGTTGTAATACCCTTGCAGACTTTGCCGAAATTTCTAAAATTGAAAAAGTAGCGAAAAGAATAAGTTATACATAAATAAATTTGATTTGCGCAGCCTTTAACAATTTTTCCCTACGGAAGCTATTACATATAGACGTCCGATTGGCAAGCGATTTTACCCTGATCAAGGTATGCGTAAATAAATAAGACTTGGAAAAATGTATGTCAATAGCTTATACACTGCGCGAAATATTCTGAAAAACTTCAAATTTGGACCGATTTCGCCATATTGTTCCTATGGGAGCTATAAGATATAGACGTCCGATCGGCACGCGCTTTTACCTTGATCAAGGTACGCATAAAAAAATACGATTTGGATAGATTTATGTTAAAAGCTGTTACACTGCGCGAAATATCATCAATTCATGCAAGGTATATCCGATTGTTCCTATGGGAGTAATAGGATATAGACGTTCGATCGGCACGCGCTTTTACCCTGATCAAGGTATGCATAAAAAAATACTATTTGGAAAGATTCATGTCAATAGCTTTTACACTGCGCGAAATATCATCAATTCTTGCTAGATATATCCGATTGTTCCTATGGGAGCTATAGACGTCCGATTTTAAAACTTGATCTACACATGTTTTAGGACGACTGTGAAAGTTTCAGATCGCTAGCTATTAAACTGAGCTCGCAAACTGTATTGAAACAGTGGGACAGACGGACGGACAGACGGACATGGCTATATCGACTCCCCTCATGCTCCTGATCAAGAATATATATACTTTATAAGGTCGGAACCGTCTCCTTTACTGCGATACAAACTTCTGACCAAAATTATAATACACTCTGCAAGAGTAAAAAAAACAATGAAGCTATATCGATTTTGATTCAACGCAGGTTTATTTCAAAACGTTTCCACCCCCATTTTAACGCCCTAAAATCAAAAAACTGATTCAATACCTGTTAGACCCCTGTTGGTATTTGTAAAAACTCAAAAAAAAACTTATTCGTTCAATATCTGTGGCACAGCGAAAAAATCACCATTCCTTAAGAAGTTATCGGGCATATTAAGTGTTAATTCCATACATGAAATGCTGAGATCATATATTTGCGAGCGCGGAATATAGCAAAAAAAC